CTACTTCAAAGAAAAGATAGTTTAGTAACTTTCAAAAGAATATATATAATATTTGACTATATCAAAAGAACATACAAAATGAAAGTCACTTGAAACTTCAAATACAATCCTCCTTTTGGAGCATGCAGTATCATAAAAGTTAAAATAAAAAAATCTTTCTCTGTATGTTACTTATTAAACTGTTTTAGATTGATTAAGACAATTAGAAAATTAAGAGTAAAGGAAGCAATAACTGAGTGATATTGAAGGCCCAACTAAAGTATTTAAACATATAAGGGTAATTAAGGTACTGAATTGTATTTAAAAAAAGTGGCAATTCCTGTAACGATGCTTCTGTAAGAAGCTCCATCATAAAACTGATCTGTAAAATTATAAAAATGTAACAGAGAACAGAAAATTAATGTTAGCAAATTAGTAAACATTTTTTCTGTAAGTTATCTAAATAATTTTATAAATAATCCACCTAACTTTCATTTTGTTAAAGTAATAGTCTTATGGGGTCAGCAGGTGGCACGGTGGTTAAAGGCACTGGACTCCCCAAGTCCTGAACCTGGTGGCTTGTTTTCTCACTTTCTTTCTCTCTGATCAAACTGGAAAATAATAATAATAAATAAAGTTAAATAAAATAATTCTTTTAAAAAAGTAATAGTCTTATAACACAAACATTTCTAGTATGAAAAGTGCATAATTTGGTAATTTTCTGTTCAGTCAAAATGCTTAGTTTATGACAAAATTATAATGCATCAAAAAAAATTTTAAAAAGGTCCAGCTGTACTGTCCAACAAGTGGTAGAGTGATGCAACATAAGGCTTGGGCCACATGGGCGACCCAGGTTCAGATCCCAAACCAACCTGAACACACTAGATATGGTGCCACATATCTATAGTCCCAACCAACCAAGGCTGAGGCAAAGGAACATAACAACGAAACCCTGTCAAAAATGCTTTTTCTCCCCTTTATCCTCTCACTTTCTCATTAAAAAACAAGAAGAAATCCATTACTGCTGTCTATTATGAAAAGTCCAATATCTCAAAATGTTGGTGAGTTGGAGAGATGCATGTCTGGAAGCAACATATAACTGAAAAGAAATTACTTGTGATTTGCCATTTTACACTTTTGTTGTCACAAGTATTTTCTCTTTTCCAAACAGAAATTTACATCCCCTATAACAGCACTATCTAACAGAAGCTTCTATGACTGTAAAAATGTGTCATACCTACGCTGTCCAATATGGCAGCCACTAGCTACGTGTGGCTAATGACTTGAAATGTGGATAGTGACTGAGAAACTAAAGTTTTAACTTTATTTCATTTGAATTAATTTAAAAGGTGTTATGGCTAGTGGTTATCCTATGAATAATACAGCTCTTTTTTTTTTTTTAAAGAGAGATTTTTGCTATAGGGCAAGTGTGCTTGCCAGAGAGACAGAAAGTGAGAAATCACCCTCCAGGTGAAATGGCCATACCACAATCCCTTCTCCTCCATTCTCCTCTCAGGATTTTGGGCACACACAACTGGCATGAATTTTAAGCTGCCAGGTCTGGGACTTGAACCACAGTCGACTACATGGGAGTCTAGCGACATAAAAATTAAATCATCTGCTGGTCCCAAAATAGCTCTTAATGCTGCCCTTTGAATAAGCTACCATGCACAGCCACTACCTACATATTCTCAAATTATTCTTCTTCATATGCTTTCTTCAAACCCCTGTTCTAAGACTGAACAGTGCAATGGTAGTATCGTCTTGCTTATTTTGCAGATGGCTCCATATTCTTGAAGTTGATAGATAAATCATAAATCTAGTATTAAAATTAATATGTAATCTCCCTTCTTTACATAAGAAAATGACCATACCAGCCATGCCTGGCCATGATCCAAAGCTGGCTGAGGTAGGGGAGGAGATCACAGTGCAGGATCCTATTAAAGGGAACAGTGCCCTCTATCTTTCTGTCTCTTGCTCATGGAAGACAGAAAATGAATACGCTTTAAATTTTTTTTTTTTTTTTGGAGAGGTTATTGCTATAGGGCACGTGCGCTCACCAGAAAGAGGGAGACAGAGAGACAGAAAGCGAGAAACCACCCCCCAGGGGGATGGCCACGCCGCAATCCCTTCTCCTCCATTCTCCTCTTGGGATCTTGGGCACACACGCACACACACCCAGCATGAGTTTAAGCCACCAGGTCCAGGATTCGAACTGCAGTCGGCTACATGGGAATTCAGCAACATAGCCATTATGCTAACTGCTGGTCCCTATGCTTTAAATTTTTTTAAAAGAATTATTTATTTACTTAATTCCATTTTTGTTATTATTTTTTAATTTTACCAGAGAAAGACAGAGAGAGAAAGGAAAACGGAGAAAGCAAGCTGCCAGTTTCAGGACTCAAACCACAGTCGGCCATGTGGGAATTCAGCTCCTTTAACCACCATGCCACCTGCCAGCTCCAGCTTTGAATTTTTTAAAAAATAAATCCTATAGTTCAAGAAAAAAAAGTATTATCTAGATTAGCTACAATATCTGAAACTAAATAGGTAATAATTTGTTAAAAGTCTAATAATAAAACTTTGGTCCAATGTTTGTCTTACTCATACGGGTTTTTCTGTAGCACAAGTGGCTTACTTTTCACAGCAGAAAAATATAGACCTAAAAACAAGCAAAATTTCCTGTATCTCATTTTTCAGGGTATAGTCAATCCTCAGCACCTTCTCTACTGTCAGAAGAAGAAAGACAACTCCTCCAGCTACATGTTCTTCCATGACCCAGTCAACAGTCTGAAAGGTTGGCTGGAAGGGTAAAATTAACCAACTAGCCTAACTCCTCAGGCTGGCAGTAAGGGCAAAAGGAAGGAGAGCTAGGTGGTCCAAGTGACTGGTCAGTGGGTGAATGCTAACCTGACAATGAACATAGACAGATTAAAGAATCCTTACGATCTTAGTGGCAGCCCCATGAGAGTAAGGGAGGGTTGAGAGGCTGTAAACAACTGCCAACCTGGTGCTGTCTCCTCCCCCATAAAAATCTCTCTGTACTTCTTATTTGCTGAGAATCCAGCATAAGCATAAAAGCTCACAACTCCAGTAATTAAGTACATATATATATATATGCATGTAATAATTAATACACACAGTACAAAATTCAATAGTACAAAGGATATAGAGAACAATAACTCTCTCTTTCCTCATTATTGTCCAGCTCTTATCACCAAAGGCAAATGTTGCCAGTTTCTTGTCTATCCTTCAGCCTGCTAAATGATTTACTAGTTCTTTTTTTTTTTTTTTTTTTTGGAGAGGTTTTTTTTTTTTTTTTTTTTGCTATAGGGCATGTGCACTCGCCAGACAGACAGACAGAGACAGAGAGACAGAAAGCGAAAAATCAACCCCCCAGGGGGGATGGTCACACCGCAATCCCTTCTCCATTCTCCTCTCGGGATCTTGGGCACGCACGCACACGTGCCCAGCGTGAGTTTTAAGCCACCGGGTCCGGGACGCGAACTGCAGTCGACTATGTGGGAGTCCAACAACCCAGCCATTACACTAACTGCTGGTTCCCAATGATTTACTAGTTCTGCCACCTTCCCCTTCAATATTTTAGATTCAATACAAACTAGAAACCCAAAATTGCACAGCATTTTTACTAACTACATCACAATCAAGTTTTGCCATGTAAGAGATCTTAGGTTATCAAATTATGTAATTACTTAGCACATAATGCTCTATTTGCAATTCCATGCTTAGTAAGCTGGAACCACACCGCAGACCAGACTTTCTCAGAAGACCTGGGTTAGAGGCCTGCCATTTACTAGTGCATGACCTCTGACCTCTGACCTCTACCTTTCAAGTCTGTGAAATAAGGATATTACCTCACCCTACTTATTTTACTGTGTTAAAAGGATTAAAAACAATAATACTTGTAAAGAGCACACTGGAAACTCTTAATGCAATATAAGGTCATTATTTTTTTTTTTTTGGAGAGATTTTCACTGTAGGGCACGTGCGCTCGCCAGACAGACAGAGAGAGACATAGAGACAGAAAGCGAGAAATCACCCCCCAGGGGGGATGGTCACGCCGCAATCCCTTCTCCTCCATTCTCCTCTCGGGATCTTGGGCACGCACGCACACGCGCCCGGCGTTAGTTTTAAGCCACCGGGTCCAGGACACGAACCGCGGTCGACTACGTGGGAGTCCAGCGACATAGCCATTACGCTAACTGCTGGTTCCCTAAGGTCATTATTTAACTGTATCTCCACAGCAACCAAACCAGAGCTGATTAGATATCTAATAAATATGTTAATTTGCCAGATATAAACACACTTCCTATTGTGCAAATTATATGCTATATTATATTCAAGGAATTTATTTTTTTCCCTTCTGGTTTAATGAATGAATAGAATAACCCAAGTGTCAATGAAACACCTTTCTTTTCAGGAAAGTTTATAACCTCAAAGAAGAACTTTCTCATGATGAAAGAATGCAAACTGTTTAACTGGCTTTTTGATTTTTAATTCTGAGGAAACATTTTTTTCTAGTGAGAATGACAGGTGTTTCATATAATCAAATTTTGTAAAAAAACAAAAATTGTTTATCAAAGCTAACAGCTCTGTCAGAGAAAACAAGAGTTTAAAAAAGGTCTAGAAAAGTGAGATGAGAGATGTTATGTTTTCAGAAAAGTCATGATGTATTTTTCTATGCAAAAATGCATCATGACATTTCTGACAACCCAATTGTTTGGTATATGAGAAGCTGTTTAGGTAACTGAAGATTAGTAAGGTCAGCCAACCAACAGGAATAGAAGATGGTAAGAAAACAAAATGAAGTCCTGTTAAAACACCTCTTTAATCCCTTTAGAACAGATGATTACATTCAGAAAGAGTAATTAAGAAAGAAAAAGCAAAGAAAGGATTAAGTAAACAGAATGGTTAATAAACATCTAAATCAGAGGAACCAAATGGCTCAATGTAGGCAAAGAGTCTAACTTTCAGTAACTTTTATAGTAGGTTTCCCTTACCTCTTCTGCTGTACTAACGTGTCGCCTCTGTGTTTTCTTGGGACTCAAAAGGCTTCGACGACATGAACCACTCCAAGATGGACTTGGAACAGGCTTAATAGGAAAAGATTTTTCATATGCAGATGCATGGCAGTGATGGTTCGACTTTCCCATAAAAGTGCTTGATAATCCACTAAAAAAAAAAAAAAAAGAAAAAAAGAATTTGTAAGAAAGATGAGTTAAATAAGGTATTTCTATTTGAGTGATTATTTTCACTTTCAAACAAATAACAACAACAACAAAAAACTCTGGGACCAGCAGATGGTGTAATGGTTATGTTGCTGGACTCCCACATGGTCGACTGCAGTTTGAGCCCCAGACCTGATGGCTTAAAACTCACGCCAGGCACATATGTTTGCATGCCCAAAATGCCAAGAGGAAAATGGAGAAGGGATTGCAGCATGGCCATCCCTTCTGTGTGTGTGTGTGTGTGTGTGAATTCTCACTTTATGTCTCTTTGTCTCTGTCTCTCCGGCAAGTGCATGTATCCTTATAGCAAAATTATCTCTCTAAAAAAAAAAAAAAATTCACACCTAACAGGTAGAATGACAGGTATACCATTTGAAGGAAATATGTAAGAAATGATATTTGGGTTGCTGCATCAGACTCTGTCACTTAAAAGGTCTTAGACTGCCAAACTATGCAATTATTATACACTCAAAATTGTAAATTGTATTTCTTAGATTCACAATCTAGTATTTCTCTGGTCAGGAACCACACAGACGTGCAGTTATGACAGAAAGTATATTACACTGGAATTCTTCAGAAAGCCTGTGCTCCAGGTATGCTAATACACACACAGATTTTCTATTATTCCCCAAGCACCTACCCCCAAGCCCTTTGGAGATAACTACTTTGAGATTAAATATGCAAAAATGGTTAAAGCTAAAGCCTCTCAGCTCAGTTTTAAACTAAATTTTAAAATTTTCTGAAAGACCAACAGAGGGCTCCCCCATCCTTCATTAAAAATAGCCAGAAAGGAGTTTTGAGCAGCTTCTTTCAGGGACTAGGACAGCCAAAGATTTTCCACCCAGGCTTTACCCTCCTGTCCCCCAGAGATCTAGCCAGATAAAACACCCTCTTTATTCTTTCTCCACCTCTCTTTCTTTAATTTTTTTTTTTAATTTTTAAACTCCTTAGCTCTCTGATGCTCTTTTATCTTGCTAATTCGTACCTTTCTCCTCTCCTACATCCAACAAGCCAATCACCAGCAATCTGCATTTGTGTTGTGAGCAGCACCCTGCATCCGCAGCGTGCTTTAAAAAATGTTTTTCTTCTTCCTTTTTTTAATTATTATTTTTTTTCTTTTCCTTTTACCTTTCTCACTTTTCTGCTAAGCCTCCACACACTGAGTTTCTAAACATGTCTAGGTGCACAGTAGCCAAATATCTGAATACTTTTAGGGTCAGGATAATCCTCAATTTTCATAGAATAGTACTGCTTCAAGACTGGAGATCACCTCCTCCTGTATGCCTCTGAATGCTCATATTTAACTCTAAAAATTAGGGAAAAAAAAGGATAATCCATAAGATGATCAGAAACCACTGCAGAGGCACAAGAACTATGAGAAACCAAGAAAATATCTCCCCCCTAAGGGAAAAGAATAACTCCTCATCCTCCAAAGACAATACAAGGTAACTCTTGGAAAAGTCAGATAAAGAATTTTAAATATTCATAGTGACAAAGCTAAAAGAAATGCAAGAGAAGAGAGACAACAAACTCCAGAAGGTGCAGGAGAAAAGAGACAAGCTCCAGAAGGTGAGAAAGTTCTTGCATAATCTGAAAGAGGAAATACATACCATAAAAAATAATCAAATGAAATTGTCTGAGATAAAGGCTTTAATACAGAAAATCAAAACCTCCCTTGAAAGTATTAAAAGCAGATGGGATTAAGCAGAAGATTGAATCTCAGATGTAGAAGATAGAACCTCTGACCTAGAAAAATTCACCAAATATACTGAGGAAAATAACAACAAAAAAAATGAGAATAATATGGTAAGAAATACTAGATACCATTAAATGCCCAAACATCCAGATAATCAGTATCTCAGAAGGGCACTAATCACCTATTCCATCCTGGAAGAAAACTTCCCAAACCTACAGAGGCACTCAAATATTCAGACCCAAGAAATACAAAGGACCCCACCTAGAATCAACCTAAGAAGATGTTCTCCAAGGCAGATCATAGCCAGATTGACCAAGACCAGAGACAAGAAACAAAAATTGGCAAGAGAGAAACATCAAGCTACTTTCAAAGGATATCCCATCAGGCTAAGACTGGACCTCTCATCGGAAACAATGCGAGCAAGGAAAGAATGGGAAAATATATTCAAAATGTTAAGTGAAAAACTATTTCAACGAATACATAACCCAACAAGATTATTCTTCATATGGGAAGAAAAGACAAAAAACATTTTCATATAAACAAAACCTAAAAGAGTGTACAAACACCAGACCAGCTCTCCAAGAAGTCCTAAAGAGAGTATTATACCAGAAAAGCTAAAGTCAGACAGACAGAAATGAGAGTACAAAAAAACCACCAAGGGAATGGCCAACTTAACAGTAGTGATATATCTATAAAGACCAATGACAACATTGAATGTTAACTTCCAGAATTTAAATGGAAAGATCAGACCATCATAACACTACAAATTCAATAGAAGAGAAATTAATTACACGAAACTAAACTGGTTAAATAGAATTGTATGACTTTTGACTAAAACATTATTTTCTTCTACTTTGTTTTCCAGATTTAAAGATTTTTATCTTCTTCTGAACTGCTGATACGACCTACTGTTTGAACTGAAACTGAACCTTCTTCCTGGCTTTAAGTCTTAAGCAAATCTCTCTTAACATTTTTTATTTTGACCTATTAAAACTACAACTGTTTTTCTTGAAATTAAAAGATGCATTTTAACTGCTGGGGACCAGCAGTTAATGTAATAGCTATGTCGCTGGACTCCCATGTAGTCCATAGTGGTTCGAGTCCTGGACCTGGTAGCTTAAAACTCAATGCCAGGCACATGGGCATGTGTGCCCAAGATCCAGAGAGGAGAATGGAGGAGAAGGGATTGCAGTGTGGCCATGCCCCCTGCGGGGTGATTTCTTGCTTTCTGTCTCTGTCTGTCTCTGTCGGGCGAGCATATGCACCCTATAGCAAAAACCTTTCCAAAAAAAGAAGGAAAAAAAACCCATACTGGGGCAGGCAGGTGGCGTGGTGATTAAGGGCACTGGACTCCCACATGGCCATGGCCAGCTATGGTTTGAGTCCCAAACCTGTGGCTTGCTTTCTAATTTTCTCTCTCACACTCTCTTTTGCTCTGCCCCTCACTGGTCAAATTAAAATAAGTAAATAAATAAATTAATTAAAAATTTTAAAAAAATAAAAAGAACATGCTAATGACTGTAGTAACCTACATAGCCCTAGCTAGATGCTACTTTTTTGTACGTTCATTCTACTCACTGAGGTTTATGCATGAAGTCAGACAAATGTTCATAGATATGTATATATCAGCTGCACTTGCTACTAAAAGTATTTAAAATCTTTAGTGAATCAATAAAATGTGTGTGTGTGTCGGGGAACAGCCACAAGGCTAATTAGGCTACATTACCCTGTAAATTCTCCTTCAGTCACCAGTAAAGAATTTTGTTTTTATTTCTTTATACTACTTGTGCCCTATTTAATGCAAAAAACTGGCATGAAAAATATTTTTGTAAATGCAGAATCCTAGTCTTATCTTTAAAGGTCAATCACTTTAGCTTTTTTTAAAATATTCTTTTCACTTATCATTATCCAGCGACGTTGAGGAACTTACTCCTTGCATAATAAATATTTATTTACTTATTGTTTTTATTTTTGAGGATCCAGAATGAAGTCAACTTATTAAATCATTACATGTGGTATGGAACCAAATGAAATGAACTAGTTTTAAAGAAAATCAAAAGCACTTTCTCCCTTTAACTCATCTAATTCTAATGGTTTCTGTGTGTTAAGTGGAGAAAGGAGCAAAAACTCAGAATTTCAGGAACAAGCTTATTTTCTTAGGATGGATGGATCTAGGTAGGAAAAGATGGCAAGGGCACTATAACTGCTTGGGGGCTAGCCGGCGGTGTGGTAGTTAATGCAACTGGACTCCACACAGTCCACCATGTGGTTTGAGTCAGGACCCAGCAGCTTGAAAAACATGCTGGACATATGTGTGTGAATGCCCAAAATACTGAGAGGAAAATGGAGAAGGGATTGCAACGTGTTCATTTCCCCAGGGGATGATTTCTCACTTTTCCTCTCTCTCTCTTGGGTGACTACATGTGCCCTATGGGAAAAACCTAGAAATAAATAAATAAATAATCATAATAGTTGCTTGGCAAAGATATAAGAAATTATCCACAATGTCTTTTGTGCTTATGCTTCTCAGAATGTACACGTATGTTTTTAACACAAAAGATTCCTATTTTTTTCTTTTGAGAGTTTTTTTTTTTTTTTTTGCTATAGGTTGTGTGCACTCGCCAGAAAGACAGGCAGAGAGACAGAAAGCGAGAAATCACCCCCCAGGGAGGATGGCCATGCCACAATCCCTTCTCCTGCAGTCTCCTCCTGGGATTTGGGCAAGCACGCACATGCAGCTGGTATGAGTTTAAGCCACTGGGTCCGGGACTCGAACTGTGGCTGGCTACATGGGAGTCCAATGACATAGCCATTATGCTAACTGCCGGTCCCAAAGACTCCTCTTTTAAAGAAATAGTACAGGGAACCAGCAGTTAGCATAATGGCTATGTCGCTGGACTCCCACGTAGTCGACCGCCGCTT